GCGGGAGTGTTCAGTAGGACTTTTATTTGTTAAGATTCTGAGCTCTGTTTGGCATGCAGAGGACTTGGAGCAATTGACCCATTCTGCTATCATACCCTCATGAGCTCAGTGGTAGCCTCAACTCATTAAAAGATTCAGGATTCAGCTCCAGCTCCTTCCCCGTGCTGCCATGAATGCTCCGCTCCATGGATTTGATTCTATTTGTATAATGTTCTAACCCAAGTTCACTTTGAAAATTTAAAAATCGCAATGTCAACCTTTCTCTCTGCCTTCTCCAGTAGTCTGTGCAATATTTCATGACAGATTCCTTTATCTACGGCTATAAAAAATTTATTTTTCTGTGAATTCCCTGACACCAGCCCACTTGAGACAAAGCTCTCTTGTGACGTTCAAGCCTAGCGTGAGCACCAGACTGAGATCAGATTTAAAGGAAGAAAAATTAAAAAGCAAAAAACTAGACATCAGCAAAATGAGTTCTTTGAAACCATTTTCAACTGGCTGAACATCAGCTTGCTCTACCGGCAATCAATAAAACCCCATCTCCAAATCCTGGCATCCACAGGGTAATAAAATGTTGTAACCAGCAGAGAGCTGTAACAGAACTGTAGAGTCATGCTGCTGCAATACATTAAGTTACATAATAGAGATAGCCCAATCTAACACAGCTTCCCTTTAGAAACTCTTTTACCCAAGGATTGTTTCTCTCCTTGGCATGAAAAAAATTACCTCCTAACTGCACTGGTCTGACAAGCTTCTCTGTCTGAGGATATTTTAGTGCCCAAGCCTTCAGATGCTCCTGTTGCATCAAGAATAGTCAGTACCTACACTCTGTTGCACTGGGCACTGTACAGAAATGAACTTTCTCAAAATAATAAGGCCTTTCCCACTGGCATTTACCCCAGGTAATAAGAGGACGTGAGGTACTGCTTGAAAATTGATACTTTATGAAGAGTTAGAGAAACAAAGGCAGTATGCAAAGAGTTAAATCAATATTTCAGCAGGATTTATTAGTTCTGACGTGTCCCTGTCCTCCTCTCCATATCTCTACAGGCTTGTTATCTCCTCTCTGACTGCCTTTCAGCCATTTTGTACCATAGCCAAGGACAAGCATATGGCCCACGAGCCAATTCAGCTGGAGGGAGATGCTGTGTGTCACGAGGGTTGTGGGTGCTCAGCTTCCTGCCTGCTCCATGAACATCATCCCACACACTAATAACAGCATTTCCTACCTGCTGAATTTTGTGCCCTGCATACTGGGAACACAATGAAAGGGATGGCAAGTAACTGTGCTGGCAGCAGCTAGAGTATTTCCAGTGCCAGAGCAGTTCTTCAAACACATCCAGAGTCTGTATTTATTCTCCTGGCTACCTAAATTAACCTCCTGCCCCTGGAGATGAACGAGCAGAATGAAGAGTAACATAGCTCCTGACTGTGCTTCTGTGCTGAGGGCTCATTTGTGACAAGGAGTAGGTGAAAGAAGGGCAGGGGACAGACACCTTCATATCTCATACAACATTTGCTGGCCAGCATAGAAACTCGCAGTAAGCGAGACAGCTGCAGTCTATTGTTGGTATTAATCAGTATTAAATTTCCACTCCCCTGCAAGAGCAGAGAAAAAGCTGTGATGACTTTGATGATATGAAATACATCTCATTTTTGAGAGCCACGCAGAAACAGGTTCACTAGTTATAAGCCATTGAAATATAGCATGGGTTCCTTGGAGGAGATGGTTCTTATTTTGCACCAACTGAACGTTTTCTCTAAGGACACATACTGGTTGGAAGCAGCTGTTATATATCTGTGCCTATCAACTTTCCTGGAAATAAGTATTTAAAATATGCATAGTCAATAACAATACTTTCGGCTTGACTCAGACTCATCCTTATCAGTGAAGGAGTGTGCAGTGCAGAAAAAGAACCAAATTTGTGTTAATACATTACTTCCAGCTCCAGAAAATATTTTTTTCCTCCTAAAACTTAACTCCCACCATCACCACCTCCTCCCCTTCCCTAAAGAGGGCCTACAGAAAAGTTGGGGAGCGACTGTCAGGGAGTGTAGTGATAGGACAAGGAATAATGGTTTTAAACTAAAAGAGGGGAGATTCAGGTTAGGTATTAGGAAGAAATTCTTCACTGTGACAGTGGTGAGGCACTGGCACAGGCTGCCCAGTGAAGCTGTGGATACTCCATCCCTGGAAGTGCCCAAGACCTGGCTGGATTGGACTTTGGGCAGCCTGGTCTGATGCAAGGTGTCCCTGCCCATGGCAGGATTGTCCCTGCCAGGATGTTTGGAATTAGACAATTTTTAGAAGGTCCCTTCCAACCCAAACCATTCCATGATTTTTTCTGGTAACAGAAAATTGGAGGAAAAATGAAGTAGCCAATTGTATACCCAGTATATCTCTCCATTCCTTCAGAAGGAGAGAGGCCAAAGGTTACTCATAACCTTAAAATTACAGGACACCACATGCAAACATAATATATTGATTATCATTAGATGTCAATAAAGTTGTCCAAAGCCATTTAGCTTAATTCCACCTTTTCAACCTAATGCCTTAAGGAAACAGGTCTCCCTGGAACTATTTATGCATGTAGGTCTATGATCACATGATAACACATTATTTTCTTTTTAGGAGACTGAAAGTATGCTGTAAATCTTAAAACATGGTGGTTAGACAAACAAGTTTCATGTCCCCTCTTCAATACCGCATATGCAGACCGCTGAAGTCATACTGCCCATGAAAAGAAATATCTGACACCAAGTTCAATGTAATTTTCTCTGGTAGAAAGAATTTCCTGTGTACTAGCAGGAAAATTATTCTAAATGAAATTCCTTAGCCACCCAAAATACAATGCCAAAGGAAAAAGGAGACCAAATCACAGCATAGCAACTTAAAATATATGAAATTCGATTTTGCTTCCAGGGTAATAACCACAAGAAATAACCATCCCAGTTCTCCTCTCATTTCTGATTTAGGCCAAACCCTCCTCACAAAGTACACTCATAAAAAGCCAGCCATAAATATAGTGACAATGATCCTGCAAAATAGCCTATGAAATTTCTATCGATGCAGTGTAAGGTGTGCCCCAAGGAGACAAAAGTCCTTCAGAACAAAGGAACTACATCAAAGGATCAGAGCTCATTAAAGGAGACCCACCTCTTGCCTGTCATAATCATTTTATAAAATGGGCAAACCTGTGGACAATGTGATCCTTCTCACCCACCACACAAAAGGCATAAGGAACATTCATCGAGTGCTCTCAGATCTCTGTCAAAAAGATATCATTGCCATATTATAATTAGTTCTGTAATTCCCCGGAGCAAAGATGGAATTTCAAATCATTCCAATAACCAACCTAATAAAGCCTTGTCCAGCCCTATTAGGGAATGGCGCGTTTCCTTCAGCATGGCCTCTCTGATTTAACAGCTTCAAATCAGACACTTGACATTCAGCTCAGCTCACCCATACCATTGTGTTGAAGTGTGATGGCTTCTGATCACATTTAAATTGCTGCAGCCCAGTACAGTTACTCCCAGTTTCCACAATAGGTGTGAAAAGAATCAACCCTACAAATATATCTAATGATAGAACTAAGCAAATTCCACACTAGTGTCTGAGCAAGCTCCTTTGTTTTGCTAGTCACAATGTGCAGATAAGGGTTTCTGCCACAGAAACCAGGAGGAAAAAAATCGCTCTAGGAAAATACAGTAGCACCCCAATCCTCCTGTTACTCCCATCTTTAAGCTTCTGATGACTTCTTAAAGGTAATCTCCACTTTTTTTTGTTTTGTTATCTGAACTACCCAACAAGAACATGGAGCTATCAGACAGATATCCAGCTGATACCAGTTGGTATTGCTCCAGATGTCAGTAGGCCAATTAAACCAGTTGCAGATTAGTTCCTAGCATCAAGGCAGCTATTTCGAAAGCAAAGAAAGCCCACAAGTGATACTATAAGAAGTGCCAGGTTGTAAGCCTCCTTCCTAACAAAGGAGAGGATACGTTAACCTGCTAGACATGCCCATATTGGAACTGTCCTCTGCACAAAAGGGATTTGGAGTCACGGATACCATATGCTTATGGGGGCACAGCTGTTCCCTTTCATAGCTTCGCCCTCCTGTGTTGGAGTAACCTGCTCCTGCTCTCCTAACAGACAGGCTCCCAACAGCCACGCGTGCAGGCAGGCAGCCAGCTCAAGACAGCAGAAAGATACCTTTGCAATACTGTAAAAATACCTCTTGCTGAATCAAACAGCGCATGGAGCTAGAGCATTGCCAGCTTGGCTGATTTATACGCATTACATGACCTAGGACCTTCTAATTTTGATGTTCTTATTTCAGATGCCTTTGAAAGAGTCAAGAGATTAATGAAAAGATATCTGTACTGGCTGATGACCTCTCTCCCTTACCACCTGCTCCATAAAATTACATGACAAGCTGTCTAGAGGAAAAGCAAGAGGTGAGGAAGATGAGATGGCAGCTGCCTGTAGAGAAGCCCTGGAAATGCTTCTGCTTGCTCTGATCTGACTTTGAGTCAAAGCAGCTCTGCTTGGAAGAAGTCCTCTGCTTGGCAGAGACCAGTGAGTCAGAAGCGTAGGCTGTGCTGCGTTAGCAAAACCGAGCTCTGAGCAGAATAACAATGGGCTTTCTCTCCTCTTCCTTCCTATACCTAATTACAGCACCAAAGCAAAACCCGCGGCGCCTGCGTCGCTGCCCTTCTCCAGGTACCCCTCGGGCCAGACACCTGCTCAACGCTGTTCTGCAGAAGACATCTCCCGCAGAATTATTTCATTACTTTTTCAGACAACTGATACATATCCCTCCAGGACCAGAATGCTCCTAACAAGTGAACGTCTCAAAAACCCCCTCCAGGGGTTAGCTGTAGCAGTAAGAGTAAATAAACTCAGCAGGCAGGGAGAGAAGTAGCACCTTGTACCACAGCGTCCAGAAAACATCATCGAGCTGCAGTTCACGTAACCCAAAAAAAGAGCATGCACTTACATTCCAGCTGCAGACAGGCTGTGGGAAGGCTGGAAGAGCATTTTAGTGTTTTCCTCCATTTTGCGTTCCTGCATCCAGTCCACTTGCAAGTCAGCATTTTTTCAGCAGCACCTGCAGGTGTGAAGTGCTCTGAAGGTACTGGGGAACAAACAGAAACTCAGTGAGGTTGAATCCTTGGAGGGAGAAGAGCTTACTCTTCTATCTCCAGCAACAAGTAATGTAATCAAAGTAATTACATCTAAGCAGTAAGGATAGGTGCTGCCATCCATCTTTAAGTCTTCTCTGTCCACCCCCTCACACAGAGAAACACTCAAGGGAAAAAGCCAGCTCTGACCCGAGGTATGACTAAAAGGCAGGCAGGTCAAAAAAAATGAGATCAGTACTACTCCCCTGTCTTATTTCCTTGTTCAATAGATTAAGGGGCAATTAAAGCCTTAACAGTGCTCTTTATTATTCTCAGGTGGATAGGAGGGGGTTGCTGGAATCACTGGACCCTAATGCAGGTGAGTTAATTTATGGCAACTGAGAGGCTCTGGCCTCAGTTTGGGTGTTTCTAAGTGCTGAAAACACACAGTCTGGTTGTATTATAACTTGTCTTCAAAATTACAAACACATTTACCCACAAAATAAAAGCAATCCAGGGAGATCAATCAGCAGAATATTGTTTGGGTTTTTTTTGGCAAAAAAATAGCATCTTAGGTAGTTTATTCTGACTGCAGCCATCTTCGAATAAACTACCAACCTGTATGTTAAATATATTTGTCTTTCTATCTGGTTAATCAAAAGCATGGTGTATTTTGTAAGCTAGTCAAAAGTAATTTTTGACAGCTCTGGTAAGGAATGCCTTCCAAAGGGAGGCACGCCTTACCAGTAATAAAGAAAGCAGCAGTGCCGAGGTGGACAACAGAGCCCAGGGGTCTGATGAAGAGAGGTTCTCCTCAAATATCATCTTGCCTGGGAATATACCCGAGATGATGTTATTTTATTACAGAAAACAAAACTGCTGGACTCCAAGAGTAGGCAAGGAGGAAGAGTGGCGAATGAAGGAGTGATGCTAAGTCTAGGAGAAAGGTGGGAGTGGAGGGGAAGGTATTTTGCTTTTTGTCTCAGTTTCTCACTGTTCAAATCTATTTTTATTGACAATAAACAGCTTTTCCCTAAGTTGAGTCTGTTTTGCCCATGGCAGTGGTTGGTAAGTGATCTTGCTGTCTTGGTCTCAACAGAAGACCTTTTTCACCTTCTTTTTCTCCCTGTCCCATCCTGCTGAGGAGTGGGAGTGAGAAGACATTTGGGTGGGTGTCTGGTGGTCAGCCAACATCAACCCAACACAATGCCACAAGAAAAAAGCCTCCCTCTGCACAGAACAAGCTGTGGACAGCTAAGGCCCAGGTGTATCTTCAAACATCTACACATATACATGGAAGATAGGAGACTCATGAACCCTTTTTTAAGGCTGGCCCAAAGGTATATCTATTGGCAAACATCATACAGAGGAGAGGCACAGAACCCCAGACAACTGATAAGCAATTTTCAAAGGTGAGGGTAGGACCGCATCAACCCTTCTTCTCGTATCTTGCCTTTCTCTTTTTTCCCCTTTTTCCATCTGGCAATAGTTGAGAACTCTAGGAAAGTCTGTTATGTGATTATTGGATTGCAAAACTCTTTGGACAAGCACATTGCAGCTGAGCTGATCAGTTTAATGCCCATGTCATTTTCAAAAACAAATTTAAAAGCACATTAATCCTCTCGTATCATAGATTTTTTGCGAACTGCCAGATCCAATACCTTGTTTACATGAAGCATGTGCTAATTTATCCCAGATAAGAACAAACCCTTCAAATTCAGTAGGTGGTGGAATGCATATCAATCTGTTTTATTTCTGTTATTAAAAAACTCTTAGGCATTCCACGATCAACAGGAATTGGATAATTATCTCTTTATTTTCTCATATTTTTAGCACCAACACTGGGCATACAAATGAAGACCTCACTAAAATATTTATTTCTAATATGAGTTTTACCTAATGGTCTTAAAAACAACAGCAATTACATCACCAACTGCAGTGGATTTTGAACCGTGGGAGTGGGGTGGCTCATCTCATTTTAGCCCTTCTCCCAGCTCTCAGGCACTGCAAGTTCTGTCCCATCTCCAGCTGAAAATTGAAATAAACCCTGGATCTCCTCCCATTGCTTCTTAAGATGCTTAATTTGAACATTAGTGCTGAGTTCTTTGCCATTGTGATGTCTGATGGGGCTCAAATCTTTAAAAGAAATCTGGGCCCAGCAAAGAATGTTCACAATCAGATTTATCTCTTTCTGGATACTGAAGCATTCAATGCTTTGGTGAGACCAAGACCTGGCCCATGGTGGAGAAGTTAACAAATCCCTGCTGTGGATAAGTGGAGCATCTGTCACAAGAACTGGAGGTGTTCTCCTTCCTGTGGCATTCTCCTATGCCTGTATGTTTTTGTTAGACTCTATATTTAGTCTCCAGCTGTTGCACGCCTGACTTGCTCTGACATTTATAGACACTCTTACACAGGTAATCTGGGAGAGAATCGAAAATAAAAGGAAGATGTTAAAGAAAAAAAAAAGAAGAAAGAAAAACGGTTCCATTTAATGGCAATCTTCAATCCTTCAGTTGCACTCAGAATAAAAGGTAGAGAAGGGAGGAACAAATAAGATAAATGCACTAGGGCATGCTGGGGATAGATACCACCCAGTCTTTTACAACAAAATGCTGCAGTAAAAGTATAACATTGGGAAATAATTTGCCTTAAGGTTGAAATATTTCAGCTGCTTCCGATCAGCAATTGCATTTAGGTGGGGGAGGTTTTATGGCTCTAATAAGCAAGTCTAGGTTTCTGGGACTCCTGTGCACTGGAAACTTATATTACCTTTTTATAAAGAAGATAAAAATTATTAAAATCTTTACACCAATTTCTACACAGAAAAAAAATGCCTTTCAATAGCTGTATTTTAAAATGGCCTGTTTATAGGATTATGATATAATTTGTTTATGTTTTGGTTATTCTTTCAGGTTAGGCATAACAAAAGCATCTTCAGGCCTTTTAATGCAATCTAAAATCACATTTTTCTAGATCTCTGTTCTGTGTTTCCATGCCTTTTATCCTCATAATCCCTCATACAGCTCTGGGACCCCCCAATCAGATCAGGATCCCACTAACAGACTCAATTGTGCACAATATAAGCATCCAATTCCACGTGATTAGATAAGCAGCATGCAGAAAAGAGGATGATAGCATCTGTCAGATGAAGATGCTCTAAAGTACTACAGTGATTTTGGGTAGTGTGTAGGGATTTCTTAGAAAAGTCATTCATATAAATCTGTATAACACCACTGACTTCAGAGAGCCCGATTCTGAAAAGAAGGGGGGAAAAAAAAAAAAAAAGTAGATTTCCAAACTGGTATAAATCTCTGTGATGCTGATTTCAGAGCTGCTGGATTTCCAGCAGCTGCAGGTAGCATAAATCAGTGTATCTCAGCAGAGCTTCCCTAATCTGAGCATCAGTCCCTCAATGCTCAGCTTCTTTCCTCTGAGTGTAAGTGTTCAAACCAGGTATTAGGACACAGGAGTTACCATCTGTAAGGACAAGGGAAAAAGTCAGTTATCAGTCATTTCTCATATCACTTTTGCAGGCATTAATAATGCTAACAGGGTTGATGGCTTTCTGCCTGTCCACTAGCAGCTAAGTGGAAAGCTATCAAAGAAAAATCTAGGTCAAAACCAACTTTTATATACGTCTTTTCTTTAAGACTGTTTGAACAGTACATAGAGGTATGCTCCATTATCTGGGGAACTGTATCTGTGAAAAATATAGTCCTTGTAAAATCTCTGGAATATCAGCTTTTCTTCTTTATACAATAAGGACACCTGATTCTTCTCACTTTCTTTTTTTCTTTTTTTTTTTTTTTGGTTAAAAGGACGCCAGTTTTCATTAAGCCTGCACAAGTTGGGACAGTATCAGTTTGCAGTAAAAATGGCTGAGGGTTTGAAATTCTAGTAGTTTCTTAAGAACAATTCAACTGCAGCACAAATGCCATTCAGTCTTTCAAGTGTTGAGTAATCCTGGGTGTTTTATCTGACTTCAATGGATATGCAGTCACTGGAAGAATAAAGAACCAGAATACGTATTTCTGCCTCAGCTGGACTTTGAACACTCAAGTGGTTTTCAATCATTTTTGTCTCAGCAGCAATTATGTGTCCAGATCCAGCAGAAATTATTTGGCAGATATCTGGCATATTAGCACGGTTATGCATTTAATATCCACACACCAAAACCCTGCATGTGGAGGGAGGGCAATGGGATTTCTAGCACTAAATCTTCCAGATTCACAGAACTAAAAGTGTCTTAGGATGGACTCCACTACTGAGCAAAATGAAAAAAAAAATAAAAAAATATTATATCCGAAAGTGATACACTGTCAAATTGTGTTCCTTTTAAAATTTCAGGCTCAAGGTTACTCATGTTATCATTAGTGTCTATAATACAGGCTTTCATTGTAGTTATTCTCGACTGATGTTGATATCTTTTTCTGGCCAATTTTTAGTCATCGTCTTCTCTGTACTTTCAAAAGATGTATTTTGCTGCAAAGACAAAAAAGCAAGATTTATTCCCACGCAGATCATTGATTTCCCCTACAGCACTCCACGGCACCCACAAAAAGTATTCATCATTATTAGTATGCTGTAACAGCTTCAAAACATTTAGTTAATAGGGTGTTTAGGACCAGCACTGGCAAATGCTGCAGTGGCTTTGCAAAAAGTGGTATACAGTGGTATATATTAAGCTATAGTGGTATATATTAAGCTCATTTGGCTAGTACAGCATCCCTGACCACTGGCACTGCACTCAAGTCCATGAGCTCTGGATCCATCCCTTGGGTCATTTATAAGCATACGACTTAAACAGGCATGAATTAAGTACAGCTCCACTGAAACACATGGTATTAGACCCTCAGGCAGTAAAAAATTGTTACACCCCAGGGTAAGGAAGAAGCAATGGATGTTTTCTACAGGTGAAAAGCTGTGAAACCCAAATGCCTCCCATGGCCACTGCCATCTTGCTGAAGCAAACGCTCAGACTTCAAGCTGCAGCTGAAAGCACAGCCTAATCCTGCTTGTTTAAAACCTGTGACTGTCTGGTTTCTGTCTTCATCTTCATTTTCTGCCACTCTGTATGCACGCTGCTGATTCTTACCCTGTTATGTTACTTTATATTCAGTCTTGCCATTCCCTACCTCAGTAAATTTCTGCAAATCAAATTCTGCTTTCACAACCAGAGCTATATTTAGCAACAGACCCAGGGTTGTTTTTCATCTTGTGGTTCAAAAGGTTTATTTTTCCTTCCTGTAAATCGTAGCCTAAGCCTGAAGATTTATCGGGCCTGAGTCACCCATAACACACTTATTACATTGCTGT